TAAGGCCTGGGCAGTGCCGGGGCCCCGTCTGTGCTCAACGCTGGTTCGGGCACGGGATGGGTTGTGCACCCGGAATTAGTACGGAGTTAATTACAGGAAGAGTCGAAACTAAAATAGGAGGAGTGGTAAGAGGCCTCGAGTCTAGGGGTTAAGTCGTTCTGTCCTGTGACGGGTGGTATTTTAGCGTGTTTTACAGAGTTTTACTTTGGGAAAATGTGGATCCATTTTACAGCTAGCTGTGCCGGCAGCACTATGTTGCAGAATTAAGACTTTCATCCTTGAGCTCTTTTCTAAACAAGTACATAACTCTTGCTTGCTAATTATGAAAAGAGACCCTGACCAGCTGAATACAGCTCATGTTGGGGGTTTGTCTGTGAGAATGGACAGATAAGAAGCTTCTCCTACACAAGATGTGCCTGGGAGTGAATGGGAGAGTATGATCAGAACAGACCTGGGAAAATCTGTTCTCCCTGTGTGATAAGAGTGACTTAAGGAGTACATGAGCTAGTAACAACCCTGGCTGCATAGTCTGGTCTCTTGTTTGTAATCCACAAATAGTGCTTCTTGCTAAGACGTATAAATATGTGTGTCTGCCTGCAATAAAGTGAATTCCATTTTCCACCATCTCGGAGTCTGTTCGTGCTTCTCCACAGGAAAAGCATACTGGAGTATCCGGAGAAGCAGTGAGGGGTGTCTGGCAGTGAGTCACGTCACTCATGGAGAGCAAGGAGTTAGCTCTTGAGGCCCATAGCAGCCCTCTGCTTGAAGTGCTCCCATCGAATTGGGGGCCGGTTAGTTCAGTCAGTAGAGCGTAGCGCTAACAACGCCAAGGTCGCGGGTTCGATTCCCATTCGGTCCCCATGTGTTGCCTGATCTGGTCGAGATGTGGCGTCCCTGTCACCTCGTGCAGTTTGCCGCAGTTCTGCCTCCGTTCGATTTGCCTGTCTCACAAGCACTGTCCTTCTCTTCGTTTTCCAGGTCTCTAGCATGGCTTCTGCGATGGGATGGGCTTAGAAGTAAAGCAGCCTGTTGGCAGTTTGAATTCCTTTTTATGCACAAGCATTCGGCTCATGGATCCCTCCTTTCCCTGGAGAGGCATCACAGATGCCTGGAAAGGCAAACACAGGGAATAATTTTTATCAGACCCTCTTTCAGAGAGATTTGGATTGCAAATCTCCAATTTGTCTCTTCTCTGATATATTTATCAAGCATGATTCTAGATTGTTTGGTGTTTTCGTTACCTTTTACAGGGTTTAAGTGGCTTTACAAAATTATTATTTAGCATTAGATATATTTATTATAAAAAGAATTGAAAAAAATGTTATAGTTATTGACTTAGAACATTAATATTCTTTCTACATCTAATAGACACAAATCAGATGTAATCTGGCCACATTTAGTCTTACATTCATTTAAAGAACAAATATGTTGGAGCAAGCCAGGTTTGTCATATAAAAACAACTCCTAGACTGCTCTGTGGCATTTAAGTATTTAATTTAATGCAGTTTCATAGTTTGTAAAAAACTGTGATTTAATTCATACCTACTGATTTATATTTTGTTTTAAGAAAAAAGAAGTGGATGGTCCTGTGGGAGACCATAAACATCAGAAAGAATTCTTTCAGGCTTCAGGATGTCCTTGTGTAGTCTCTCGCATTAAAAAGATAAAGTCTGGTGCAAACAAAGAAGTTTGCCAAATGAGAGAAAAAGAAAACACATCCTACTCACAATGAGGAAGTTTGGTGCTGCTGCAATTTGATTTTGGTGGATTGAGAGGCCATAAAATAGCAGAATAAAACCAGGAAAATATGACATGGTTCTGCACACGGGTATCTGGGCAACAACTTGAACTCGTTTCTGTTCACTGGAGAAAGGAAAGAATTGTTTCTCCGCAAGAAATGAGGTCGATTTGTCTGCCTTTCCATACCCTCCACACTGCTGGCTGACGTTGAAAGGTCTTTCTGTTCTGTTTTTTTTCTGTAGGGGGCTTTTTCTCCACCATCTTTTCCAGTTTGTTTGGAACTCGAGAGATGAGAATTCTCATCCTGGGACTGGACGGAGCAGGGAAAACAACCATTCTCTACAGGTTGCAAGTTGGAGAAGTTGTTACCACCATTCCGAGTAAGTGATCGGTCCCTTGGTGAAAAAGACAATTTGCTAATTTTGTGCCAACGTGAGATCTGGCCGCTGAACTCGCTTCCCTCACAAACGAAGGGATCTCGCGTTGTGGGAGCTTCACAGTGTTGTGTTCAATAATTTTCTCACAGAATGCTATTACAGTGGGCTATAAAAGATCTGCATAAAGGAATGTTTTATGCTGAATGTAAAAAATACAAAGAACGTTACTGTGATTCAGCAGGCTTTTCTGGGTAGGTAGATGTTCAGTAAGTGCTAACTGTTGACTCTCTGTTGTCTCCAAATATAATTGACTTCCAGAGGCCACTATTTATAGTACAAAGTAAATTTTAATAGGATGGTGCCAGTGAATTGTACCTGTTTAAGTTCTTTTTTTCTGACAAGGGTCTTTACTTTGTTATATGAACATTTCTGTTTAACACAGAGAAGAAATCAGATGTTTAGCTTTACATTATGTAGGAAAAAAAAGTTTTAAAAACCTGAACGTTTGTTACACATCTCTACAGTATGTTGGCCCTATCTTTTTATTGCTCAAGGAGAAAAAATACCGCATTTTTTTGAGCCATAACTGTGTATTGGGGTAACTTGAGAAAGGGAATAACCTTCATTCTGTAGCTACTGAGAGTTTTCAGGCCTGAAAATTTTAAACTAAGTCCTTTAATGTTCTTCATAAAAATGAAGGTAGATCACCAACGGTGAAATTGTTTAACTTTGTTTCAGCCATTGGCTTCAATGTTGAGACAGTAACATACAAGAATCTGAGATTTCAAGTTTGGGACTTGGGAGGACAGACAAGCATAAGGTAAGAGATCTTTTAAGATCGAAAGTTGCAATTCGATTTCTCTGAAAAGTGCTAAAAGTTCCTGGAGTCCTCCTAGCTGGCACTTCTCGTTCTTCTAAGTTATAAAAGCAGCCCATGGTCAGGAGAGCTCTTTCATCTGACCAAATGTAGTTTGTAAAATCCCGTTTGGACAAGGGATTGGAAAGAAACAAGCGAGTGTTTTTATTTATATACGCTTGTGCTTGGAAAAATCAGTTTACTTGTGTAGTTGGCAGTTGCGTAGCATTCCGAGAAGGAGAGAGGTGAGTGACTTAAACCCAAAAAGAGATTTAAATATCCTTCCGAATGCAAAACTAGGAAGCTGAATTTAGGTATAGATGATGTGTTTGTTTTTTTTTAAGCTAGCTTTACAAGTTTTGTGGTGAGTCATTATGTGCATAGTTGTGGTGATTGCTTCAGCACCCCGCTATGAGCTTTTTGCGATTGCTTTTTGAACGCTAGGGAGTAAGGCGCAGTGTAGCTAGTTAGTTAAGTGAGGTGCAAGTTCCTTCCTTTTTAGTTTTGGTAAGATAATTCTGAAAAAGGTACTTTGTTTCGATCCTTGTTAATTACCTGCCTGCATGAATGAGTCATTTAAGGTAGACAGAGAAATCGTTCTTCGGTGATTATTGAGGGCAGAAGCTTGTGTGTTTAAACCTTGCTTCCCTGTCCCTCAGTTACGGACCTGATGTCATGCAGGCTGATTCCCAGGTAAATCTGTCCCCAGCCCTTCTGTCCTTTTCCTGTTTTCAAGCTGCTTTTTAAATTATTATTATAATTTTTTTTATTTTCCCCCCCCTCTTGCTGCTGTGAGTATTTTTACTGTCTGTGCCTTTTTGTAGCCCCTTGAAGATATCTTCTACTTGCTTCCTGGCGCCTTTTGCCCCAGAGACAGTTTTTACTTCCTCTGGGCAACTGCTTTCCATGACCTGGCTGAAGAAAGCTCTGCTTGCAGTGCAGATTACGTGACTGGAACTTACCTTTCTCCCGCAGGCCCTACTGGCGGTGTTACTATTCAAATACAGACGCAGTCATTTATGTAGTGGACAGCTGTGATCGTGACAGAATTGGCACTTCAAAGTCAGAGCTCGTTGCAATGTTAGAGGTAAGAAACCAGCAGTGACAGTTGTTATCAGTGGAGCAGAAACTCAGAAATGAAAACTCTTTTTTTTTTGGTGTGAAGTTCGATTCAGTCAATCAAGCAAAGTTCAGCTTCAGCCCTCAGGACAGGCCCCTGCAACACTTCTCATGGAAAAGCACTAAATACAGGGTGGAGATTTTGCCTTTTTTTGCAGCGTTGCCTGGGCAGGGAGCGAGTTACATGTTGCCTTTTGGTCACGTGAAGATTTTATCTGTCTGCAAGGACAGCTGCTCCGTCCTTCAGTGGTGCCAAAATCAGGCCCTGAAGGGTTAATGATCCTTAGTATCCTACTGTGCTCCAAAGCTGAAGAACACGTGTAGACCAGGGCCATAGGAGTGAGAACAGGAGTTGAACAAAACATCATTTTCCCTCCCCTCCAAATTGCTGCAGGCCCTTTGCCTTGTTAACTCTCAACTACCAGCTGGTTTCAACCTAACAGGTGTAACCAGCCACGTTTTGAAGTTGCTCCTGTGTGCTATCATGCTGGAATTTGAAAGTAAATTCCATTTTTTCACTGAAGAATTTTCTAAAGAACAAGAATCAGCAAACTGAAAACCACTGAGAGCTGCTGAAGTTTCTCGTCATTCTGTGGGTTTTCTCTGCTTTCCCTGCAACAATTTTATGATTGTTTTTGTTTGTTTGCTTGCTTTAGGAAGAAGAGCTGAAGAAAGCCATTTTGGTGGTGTTTGCAAATAAGCAGGACATGGAACAGGCCATGACTCCCACAGAAATGGCAAACGCGCTCGGCTTACCGGCTTTGAAGGACCGAAAATGGCAGATATTCAAAACCTCTGCAACTAAAGGCACGGGGCTCGATGAAGCCATGGAATGGTGAGCAGCACTCTCATTACTCATTAGAAAAATATCCTTTACCATATTTCTTTTTGTGTGTCAGACAGATGCAGTCTTCAAAGATGAAAGCCGTCACTGGAAGAAAGAGTAGCTTTCTCCCCAAAGCATTTCAGCATCATTGAAATGACGTAACCTTTCTTCTAGGTTGGTGGAGGCCTTGAAGAGCCGACAGTGACACAAAAGCGATCGCTGCGATGAAGTTTCAGCTGCATCCAACATCCCTCTATGTGCAGTCGAGTATTTTTCAGGCCACAAATCCTTGTAAATAGGACAGATCATGTCATGTGGACGCCTCTCTCGAATTGCAAAACTGAACCCAAGTGAATGTCTGTGTACATTATAATACTCTGTTCCTTTCTTTCTGTTTAAAGGATGTACTTATGTTAATTTTTTATGGAAGTCTTACTGGCTGCGGTTTGGTTTTTTTTTTGTTCTCCCCACCACAGGTGGTTTTGAGTGGCTACTCTATTGGTGTAAGTAAAACACTAATAAAATCTGGAACTGTCAGCTGTACTCGTGGGTGTGTTACTTGCTTACAGACACAAGTGCAGCTGCTGCCTGTCCTAACAGCCATGGAGCTGAACATTTTTAAAGCAGTTTCCTTAAGCTGTGATGATGTTAACACTTCAGAAGCCTTCAGCGTGGATGTGGTGTTAGAACCAAGTCCAGCAGCAGCGATAAATCGCATACCTCAAGCTGTTAGCACAGCACTGGTTTTTCTGAAAGGAAATGTCTTCGATAGCCACCTACTGCCCTGATGTGCCAGGGCTGTACTTTGAATTTAACTTCCACCTTCATGAGCTGTTACTCCTCTACTCTCAGCTTAGCCAGAAGTGACACTTAAGTTGTTCAGTTCAGCTGCAGAAACTGAAAGTCAAATCAAAGGCAGGAGGCAGACTGCTTTATCTGCAGGATGCTCACAGGTATGAACACGCACATCACATCTTAAAAACAAAGTAAAATTTAATATAAAAGCTCATGGTGGTTGTCCATTCAACTGTACACACTCTGGTAAATATACAGGTTTGGAAAAAAAAGATTGAAAAGCTTTTATTTAAGATCCTAGAGGGAAAAGAGGACCTGAAAATATACTAATAAATACAATTAAAATATGTAATTTTTTTTTTTTTGCTTGACATGACTTTTTATAAATTAATCCTCCAGGAAGGAAAAACCATTTCATTCCACCATTGCTAAATCCTTCAGTGCATGACTTCGAGGTCTCTTGGCCTTGTAGGCAGGGCGCAGGAATTCTATTTTTCTCTTCCTGGTTTCTGCTTTATTCTTGTGTCTCTTCAGCTTCCTCCTTGCAGCTATGTCAGGGTTTGCTACAGTCTAGTAAAAACCAATATGTGTGTTTAGTTACAACTAACAACCATCCCTGTAAAGGTCGGGCACTTCTTAAGAAATCGGTGACTGGTGAGACAAGGTGTGCGTTGTCTCAGGCTCCTCAGCACTGAGGGGGTCAGGGCAGCTCTGCCCAGGTTTGCTGCTGCCCTTTGGGCAGGAGCAGGGCAGCATCGCTGCCAGGCAGAACCCACCCAAGAGGCTAATCTTAAACAGTTTTTATAGAATCATAGAATGGTTTGGGGTTCGAAGGGACCTTCAAGATCATAGAATCACAGAATGTTCGGGGTTGGAAGGGACCTTGAAAGATCACCTAGTCCAACCCCGCTGCCAGAGCAGGATCCCCTAGGGCAGCCACACAGGAATGTGTCCAGGCGGGTTTTGAAAGTCTCCAGAGAAGGAGACTCCACAACCTCTCTGGGCAGCCTGTGCCAGTGCTCTGGCACCCTCACAGTGAAATTTTTCTTCATGTTGAGGTGGAACTTCCTATGTTCTAACTTAAACCCATTTTTTTTTGTTCTGTTTCTGGGCACCACAGGGAAGAGATTGTCTCCTTCCTCTTGACACCCACCCCTCAGATATTTATATACGTTAATAAGGTCCCCTCTCAGCCATCTCCTTTCAGGACTAAACAGCCCCAGTTCTCTCAGTCTCTTCACAGGAGAGATGTTCAAGTCCCTTAATCATCCTCGTAGCTCTCAGCTGGACTCTCTGCAGTAGGTCCCTGTCTCTCTTGAATTGGGGAGCCCAAAACTGGACACAGTATTCCAGGTGTGGTCTCACCAGGGCAGAGTAGAGGGAGAGGCGAACCTCCCTAGACCTGCTGGACACACTTTTCCTAATGCACCCCAGGATCCCATTGGCCCTCTTGGCCACAAGGGCACATTGCTGTCCCATGGACAACTGACTGTCCTCTAGGACTCCAAGGTCTTCCTCTACAGGGCTGCTTTCCAGCAGGATGTCCCCTAATCTGTACTGGCACCTGGTGTTATTCCTCCCCAGATGCAGGACTCTACACTTGTCCTTATTGAACTTCATGAGGTTCACCTTTGCCCAGGCAACACCCCCACCATGGGCAGGGACACCTCCCACTAGACCAGGTTGCTAAGTCTCATCCAGCCTGGCCTGGAGGGAGGGGGCATCCAAAACTACTCCAGGCAACGCATTCCACTGTATCATGACCCTCACAGTAAAGACCTTCTTCCTAATGTCTAACCTAACTCTACCCTGCTCTAAACCCATGGCCCCTTGTCCTATCACCACACGTCCTTATAAACATTCCCTCCCCAGCGTTCCTGTAGGTCACCTTCAGGTTTCTCGTGAAGTTTCAGCAATGAAACTGTGCCAATTCAGGATCGAGTTTTTCCTCAAACTCACCTTCCCAGACAGGTCTCAGGTCTTTAGATGAAACCCTGTTTCTTTTTCCCAGAAGAGGAAGCAGAACCTTACCTGCAAAGCCCTCTGTTTTTTCCTCATGGCTCTTTTCTGATGGGCCTGTTTCTGCACAGAAGAAAAGGCAAGCGAAAAAGCCTCCAGTCCAACTAACTTCTTGAGCAGTTCTATGATTTCCTGGGAAAGGTTCTTCAGTGTTGGATCTAATAAAACAAAATTAACTTGCTTTCAGCTTTTCAAATTGACAGAATGAAAGTCAAGAGCCTGAAAAAGATTTCTCTTTCTTTACTAAAGGACACTGATCAGTACTAAAGTACTGATTCATCTTGCCCAATAAAGTGCAGAGACCAGAGCAAAGGCGCTCGGGAAATCTGCTGGTTCTTCACCAGCTTTCCCAGAGGACCAGAAGTCACACTTCACACAGGCCAACAGAAAATGATGCTTCCAAGAAGAAAAAGGGGTTTTTTTTGTCTTTTTTGTGTTTTTGGTTTTTTTTTTTCAGAAGTCTAATGGCATCCCAGAGGTTATTAGAAGGGGCCTGCTGTACAGGTCTTTCTTGGAATAGGCTTTGGTGGAAGCAGACGATTCCAGCCTTGTCAGGCAGCATCTCAGCACAGCACAGCAGTAAGGGCTGGCTTAATGGTTAGGATCACTAGTTAGTTACAATGCATTAACTACGATCACTGAAAAAAAAAAAAAGGATACAGGAGAGGGTGCAGGTGAAAGGCTACAGAGATGCTAAGGGAAAACTGAGAGCAGGGCAAATGTTTCCCTCAGTCTTCCAACAGATCCCTCTTTCAAGTGCCTGTAGAGCTGCTGCAGAAGCTTGTGTAAGCTGCCTGTCTCCACAGTATCCTTCAGTGAGAAGTTCCCTTGGTCTGCATCCCCTATCGTGTGAGCAAACATCTCTGCACTTCTGAAAAATCATTTCGAGGCCCTTGTTCTTGTGCTGGCAGAGAAAGCAAAAAGCTGATCTTTATCCACTCGCAATACTGTCAATCTCTACCATATCTTTTCCAAGTCTCTTGCTTGCTGAACTAAAAAACCCCACACTTCTCTGGTTCACTGTCTGCTCTTTTCCTGGCATTGGATTTTGCCTGACTGAGTGCATTTTCAGGAACTATCTAAACGCCAGTGTCTTGCTCTTAATGCCAGGAGTTGCCGTGTTAAATGAGAATCTGGTTTGTCTCCCCTGACCAGGCACGGCTTGATCTTTTACACAAACGTGGATCTCCAGAGAGAAGAAACAAGTGTTGTTGCTCAGGTAAGATCTAGCAGGACAGAGTGACCTGGCCTCATTCAGGAGGAAGGGAGAAGTTCCGGGCACTCTAAAACCGGTGTATGTTGCCCACGTGGCGTTCTGGTAGCCGGCAGCTCTCCTCCCCTTCCTGGAAGGGTGACTTTGCTGTCATGCGGCACACACAAAAAGTCTTGTTCTCATTTCAGAGAAGGGGAAGCTTGGGAAAAACACCAAGCAAAAAGCCTCAAACTGGCAATTCCAACTTGCACAGCCCCTTGCTCTAAAGTAACCCAAGCTGCCCCAAACCACAGCCTGTTTTACATTAAAACTGAAACACTTTTAGCCACAGGGCATGGATCTTCATGCCCTTAAGCCTCACTGCAGAGCTAAATGGCAATGCAAAAAAAATGGCACCTGGCGACAGCCTTGTTCTGGCCTCCTTAAGACCCATGCTCAGCTCCTCTCCTCAGCAAGGACTCCATGAGTCTTGTCACCATGAGTCCACCCCAGAGTACTAACTACACCTCCTCTATGTCACGTGTTCAAGCTTCACCCGCTTGCACGCAGGAGAAACTGCAACTTCAGCCCAGCCTTTGTCAACACAGATTTTTGTTTCAACTGTCTTACACTCTCCTCCTTTCCTGATATTTCGGTTCAACTGCAAGTGGGTAAAATTCGCTAATGATGGTGGTGTTTGTGCCAAGGCACAGGTCTGACACACTTTCCTCTTCACTAGTCTTTTTATGAGGGGCACTGTTTACCTTGCTCTGCGTAGTTGCTGTTCAGCTCCCTGTACAGAGGGGTGAGAATTGTTGGAAGGTAGGGCTCGATCCTGTCTTTCCCCAGATCCACTGAGATTGCTCCCAGGAACTTAAAGATGCAGCTTCTCTGAAAATGAAGCAAGGGACATGAAGTAAGGAAGATTGGAAGGAATCTGCATAACAGAACTGCTGCAAGGGGGCTGAGCACCACTGTTCGATGTACGAGGTGGTATTTCAGACACCTGAGTCAGAAACTTCATGCTGTTACAAGGTCTCTTGGCAGCCAAGTACAGCCCGTAGACAAGACACAACCCCTCGGGATCTGTGAACACATGAGCTGTGACTCCACTGAGCTGGCAGCTCTTAACACCTTGAACACCAAGCTTCTTGTTCTCACCGTCCTGCACTGAACCAGCTGAAGACATGAAAGCTCAGCCTCTGTAAGTCCACACCACGGGGAACTGCAGCACTTCTCTGGGTGCTCTCCCACATCCTCTCCTTATCTTAGCAAGCAACTCCACGCAGCCTTTGCCTTGCCTGCACAAACGCAGCACTCTTGGGCTTTTGCAAAGGCAGTGCTCTGTCCTCCTCAGCTTGGTGCCTTTGGGCTTCCCACCCTTCTACCACTCCATACAAGGGCTGGAAGCATCAGGGAAGAGAGGCAGGCTGGTACAAGGCTTTCCTGAGAATCCCGAGCCAAAATGTTTGTTTCTTTGGCACCTGCTAATTCTCACTTTGGCACCAGCTCCCAATGTCTCCTGCAGCTGGTG